TCCACAAGGAAGACGTGCGAGAGGATTCGGAAGAAGATCCTGAAGAAGAGGTGGACAAGCTTTACCAAGCAGCTGGGAGGAGGTCCAAAGATCGTCAGGACAAGGGCCCAGCTGAGGTTCGTTGCCTCGGATGCGGTGGACGCCACAAGCGAGCGGAATGTCGGTTCCGTTCCGCCATTTGCCGAGCGTGCGGGAAGAAAGGCCACATTGCTGCGGTCTGCCTGGGTCGACAGAAGGTACAACCGAAGGAAGAATTGAATCTGAAAGGTACCAGGGTGCCCAGTCAAAACAGGGTGGGGTTCTGTGCAACACGCCGGAACATTTTAAAAATAGGCACACACAAACTCCTTAAAAAGATACTTTCTCTTAAAGTGAAATTGCAGGGAGTTCCATTGTCGATGGAACTTGACACGAGGTCTGCCCTATCCATAATTTCCCTCAACACATTTCACAAAATCTGCAGCAGCAGTGGCCAGCGAGTTTCGTTAAGGCCTTCTAATGTAATCCTTACGGATTTCCAAAATTCTCAAGTGTGCGTTAAGGGGGAGGCCACCCTTAAGGTACAGTATAAGAATTTTGTAGGCCCCCTAGACGTGTTGGTTGTGGGGGGTGAGCGAACGAGTCTCATCGGACTCGATTGGTTTGAGGCCTTGGGAATACAAGTAACAGGGCTACATAAGTTGCAAACACAGACCCTTGCAGACGTATGCAAGGAGTTTGCAGATGTGTTCAGTTCTGAACTAGGGTCCTACACAGAACCTCCAGTTTCACTAAAGCTAGATCCAACTGTACAGCCCATCAGGGTTAAACCGAGGAGAGTACCATTTGCTCTTAAGAGTAAGATTGACGCTGAACTGGACAAGTTGCTCCAGCAAGGCATTCTAGAGCCTGTAGATTCCAGCCTGTGGGAAACCCCCATTGTAACGCCTTTAAAGGCAAGCAGGGACATTCGGATTTGTGCTGACTACAAGTGCACACTAAACAAGGCCCTACAGCAACATGCTTATCCTGTGCCTGTAGTGAGCCACATTCTGGCTTCTCTCAAGGAGGGAAATTTTTTTGCTAAGCTTGATCTGGCTCAAGCATATCAGCAGCTGCCTGCTAATGATGCAGCAGCAGAGGCCCAAACTATTGTCACCCACCGTGGGGCTTTCAAGGTGAAGAGGTTACAGTTTGGCGTGAATGTCGCTCCTGGCATTTTTCAGAGTGTAATGGAAAACACCCTGAGGGGTATTCCTGGCATGTGTCCTTATTTTGATGACGTTCTCATCGCTGGAGACTCTCCACAAATGCTAGCTGAGAGGTTAAGGGCTGTTTTGCTTCGTTTCCGAAGAGCAGGTCTTAAATTAAAACAGGACAAATGTAAGATTGGTGTGCACTCCACTGATTTCCTGGGATTCAGGATAGATGCTCAGGGTATACACCCGTCTGATGCTAAGCTCAAAGCTATTCAGAAGGCTCCAAGCCCCAAGTCTAAGGGCGAATTGCAAG